TTATAAAAAGTGATGTGTATAATGTGCTGTAGCCTTCACAATCACCTGGTCTCAAGATGGAAGAACACCTATCTGTGATTTTAGATCAGCTTGTTAGACAGTCTGAGCACCACCATCACTAAAACACTACATGATTCAATTTAATTCAATTCAATTTTATTGATATAGCGCCAAATCACAACAAAAGTCGCCTCAAGGCGCTGTGAGTGAGAATCAGTTGGAAAAGAGACCTCCATTAGAGATCCAGAGATATTTAAGTTTAGTGCCATACTGTGGCATGTAGTGGCCCGACAATGTTATTTCTTTCCTTTTATTTGTCACCTGTCCATAAGACAAAAAAGACTACATTTAGCTGCTTCAAAAGATGAATTATCAATAAATTCACACAAATCTTATAATAAAAAGAGATGAATTGCACACTAAATAAAAATACAGTGAACTGGGGAAGTTATGTGTTATAGGATGTTAAGATGAGATAAGATAAGATAAGATAAGATAAGATAAGATAAGATAAGATAAGATAAGAGTCCCAAATTCCAAGATAAGATGCTTAGAATTTAATTCTTCATCACCTGGTCTCCCGTAAAGAAGCTTCCTGTTTGCAACACAGTGGCCTGAAGAGTTTTAAAACAGAGCAGCCATTCAGCTGCTGCTGCTTCCCACCAGCAGCGCTGCTTCCAACAGGGCACTTTTCTGTTGGTATCAGATTGCATCACTCTACCTGAGGATACCTCCTCCATCCACTCACACAGCGCACCACCCGGCGCGTGGCTGTATGACATCACTCCCCAGGAGTCAACCGGCAGCGAGGCGCGAGGCGCTCTGCTCGCTCACTCAGAGAAACTTAAGACAGATGCTGCTTCTCCATTCACGTGTGTTTAACGAGAACCCAGATGTATTAAAACCACCCTTAGCATCGCTTTTGTTTGGAAAAGAACTGTATATCGTATCTGATACGGTGGATAATATTTTTTAATGTAGCCAGTTGTTTCTGTTTGGGTTTATGAATGTGGCCTCGCTGTGGAGGAGCTCTTGCATTTACACTGGTGCCCACCCAACCTATGGAGGCTTTATCATAAAGTATTTACAGTTACCGTGCGATACATGGATATTTACTTACCACTCTGGCGTTTGGAGTCCATGTCTTCAGACGTTCTGAAGTCTGTGCCGCCCGATTTGTTTCCAGTAATAATCCCTCAGTTGCTTCGGTTACAAGTTCTGCTCATATGAGAAGAGTTATACCCGCATACACAGCGGAGGTCTGTCGGCCTCTGTGCGACCAAGTGAGTCAGAGTGGCCGCTACACTTTTTGAGTAGGGGCTGCTTGTTCATCATCAAGAGTCCCGCTGGGTCCTAGTGCTGGTGGAGTTCTGTTACAGATCCACAGTGACAATATTCATCATAGCATTACAGCTTGGTAGTAACATGGCAATACCGGGGTAGTAGTTTGGTACGGAAGGCATAATACTCGCATGATCATGTAATTCCTACAGTATTAACCAGACAACAGGTTTTTATTAGAAAATATATTTGGTTGGAGGCCGGGATGCATACTGTTGGGGCCAGAAATATGCACTTTCTTACTTTAAGAGATCGTAAACCATAATTATTAAAGGTAGAATTATTTTTAAGGTTAAGAAGGTCCTTACTCAAGGGTCATGCACATGTTTGAGTCTACAGTGCTCTGGAAAAGTTTTAAGCAATGCCTGATTTCCAGGAGCCAGACTTTCTTGGAATTATTTTTTTTTTTGAAGTGGTCTTGAGCAATAGTTCTCCAGGCTTTCTGAAGGTCTTTCTCTTTTTTTCCATTTTCTTTGAAAGTCATTCATTGACTGCTTTTGGCTCCTTGGACTTCACCATTTTCAGAGGAATTTTATTTGTTTGGTTGTTTGTTAGGACCCGAAGTCTGAACCACTCAAGCATAAAAAATAACCTAACTAAAGGAATGAAACAGTTTTGCTTCTATATATAAGTTAGCAAAGAATCAATTTTAAATTTTATCTTTGGTCAATTCACTGCAAAAACACATAATTTGTTCCTATTTCTTTAGTCAAATCTATAATACAAAATGGCACTGATATCAAGGTTTGACAGGTATAAAATTGTATTTATTTATTTTTTCATTCTTAAACTTGGGCTGTCCCACTATTGTGTGCAGTGTGTCCCTAAAAAATCTAAAGGAAATTGGAAAAGTGGGGGACAAAAGAAGTAGAAGGGCTAAAAATAGATAAATAAAATCTACCTACAGCAGATGAACAATATCTGAAAGTCACATCATTGCAAAACAGCAAAATATCTAGTAAAGACCTGACACGGGACCTGAGAGATGCATCTGGCTCTTCAGCTGATTATCTACTGTTCACTGAAGCATCATCAGAAAGGAAAAGTAAGTGGGAGAAAATACTGAGGTATGCTAGATTATACAAGAACTGGACTGAAAATTACATTTTTGGTTTAAATCATATATGAACAAAGGTGATTAGGAGAGAGGTAAAACAGTGAGTTTCTAAAGCCGCCTAGAAACACAGTGGAGGTCTTTCAAGAAGTCTGGAAACTATTTCTTGAAGATGACTTATTAAAGAAGAGTTTGGCTGAAGGAGTTCAGTCTCTCTCACACAAAAAGTCAAATATTAATGTTGATGTTCTTTAGAATGGTGAAAACTGTCTTTTTGAAGAAAAAAAAATACAAATCCAGATTGTTTTGAAGCTGTTGAGATAATTACTAGAATTTTGTTCAGCAATTTGTCATATGTCACGATGGCTCCACCATGAATACGAGACTATTAATATGAAATAAAATAATAATAACAGTGAAAATAATGTTTCATCATACAGAGTAACCCAGTGAGGTCTTCATGGCTGGCTGAGTTCTCTTAAATATGGATACTAATAGGTAAATTCAGCTGGTAAACCATCCATGTCAGGTGGTAAAACCAAAGTACAACCAGAAAAAAAATGTTTATGTTGTCTATGTTGTCTATGTCTATGTTTATGATACCAAATAACAGCTAATACAAGTTTATGAATAAAAAAGATTGCAAAGGTTGGGTGCTGTTGGGTGCTAATTCAGTTGGTGCAGCTGCAATAAATGTCACTCAGTTAAATAAATAATTGTATTTAAACCTCTCAGATTATGTATTATATTTCTAAAATGCACATTACTTTAATTAAAAAAATGTTTATATAATAAACTAATATAAATTATTATTACGTGCACAAAAATACAAACCTGCCAAGAGATATATTCACTGATAGTCCTCCACTTTCCTAAAGCGTTTATCAAAATTCCTATATTTTCCAGATAAGGAAGCAGCTCTCCGTACCCCCCAGATCTGCAGTAAAACTGAACACTCTGAGAGATAAGACAGGTCCAGGTGAAAGCACTTTAAAGATGAGCCCTTGATTAATGATTGTGTCAGTGAAGTCTAAAAATACAAACCATAGAACAGATAACATCATAACTTCTATTGAGTTGCATTCGAGGGTTGGAAGAAAAAAAATACCGCACACTAAATAAGTCAGTGCATCATTTATTTAAGAGTAGCACTGAAAGACATTAGGCTGTAAATGAAAACTCCAATAAACATAAAGGCAAACGTTGTATATGTGATTAATTGTTGCAGCCTGTAAACACAAAAACCCTCCACTTGGTTCAACGGCATTACTTCACCTTTTACAGCCAGTTAAAACAAACTTGAGTCATTCTTTGCAACAGCTATCCAGTGCCTTTTGTTTTAATTAGACCACTTTCAGCTCAGTCACTACAAATTGCACCTGTTAATCACAAACACAAACCTTTACTTCATATTTTCATATTTCTTCCTTCAATATTTCCTTTCTTGGCATTTCTCATATTCAGAGTTCTTCACTTTGTTCAGATGGCTTTTAAATATTAATAAAAAAAATTTCTTGATTAACTGTTTACCATCGTCAGTCATACACTCACACCCTCACACATACACGACACGTCAGAAAAACAGTGTTTCAACTGTAGTCCAGCATCTGAAATTCGGGCTTGTTTCTTGAGAATAACTGCAAATACGAACAAAAAACTTGGATTTCCATATATAAGTGAAACGCACACGTCTTATTTTAAAGTGTATAGTACTAAACCCCCACTTCTAAACTACCACCTCCCAGCTCTGAGCCATGACGCAGCTCATTTATGTCAAATGTCATTTCAAAGCAAACGTCGATGGACTGTCCAGTCTGCTTGCACATGTAGAAAAAAAGTGTGTAATATGGCTTCAGAAATACTGACATCAAAAATCAAACACGTTGTTTGAAAAATGTAGACGAAAACCTTTGGTTTTCAAGATGTGCACATTATAAAAACACATTATTTATACACCATGTTCAGTAACCCCAGTGCTGAGAATCACACAGTGCTCATTTTCTTGTCTTGCCAGTTTATCAGACTTTGCAGCAACTCTCACCCCCTAAAACTAGATTCTAGAACAGCTGACATACTTCATAAGAATACACGTTTTTTGGCAGACCTGGAGTTTCTTAAAAAGCACATCAGTAGTTCAGACAAAAACTGTAACGCTTGTGTAAACATACTGCCATCTGCTGGTAGGAGAGGCACAAGCAACCCGTTGTAACTCCAGTGAAGCTCTCTGCTCCTCTTTTAGTTTTCTACCACTCAGTTTTCCTTTCTTGGTGGGGATTTTTCCTCAATTTTGCCCACTTGGCAGACTTCACAAACATTGCTTAAGAAGTCCGAACACATGGCAGCTACAACAAGCCAAGAACATCTCTCTTCTGCCTTCTTATTTTGTTCAGTTCTTCTTCCGCTGAGCCATGGACTCAAGCTGGGTTCAGTGAAAGGATCTGTTGACTTTTCTCAGAAGAGTCTGACCTGTTTCTTCAGTTCATTTTGTTTCCACTGAGCAAGATGGTCAAAGGCAGACATGGACATGCTGAAGACTCTATAAAACTCCTCTGGGGAGAGATGACGCTGTTAGCAGGAAGAGACAAAGAAGATTAAAACACAATTTCATTTTTACATTTAATAAACCATAGAGAAAAAACATTAATAATGTGACACGACCAGTTGCACAGTTTCTAAAATTCATAAGTAGTGACCTTTGCTGATACAGTACTAAATGAAAAGACATACAGTACTATACAAAAGTATCGAGTCGAGTCTATAAAGTTTGCTTTTAAGTAGCCAGGCTTTCTCGTAATTTTAAAGTGGTTTGAGCAATAACTATCCAGGCTTTCAGAAGCACTTTCAATTTTTTTCTTAGGACACTGGCAGTTTTTTCTTAGTCCTCTCCTTGTACCTGAGCCTGGAATTCAACATTTTTGAAGCAGTGCGGGATAATCTTGACAAACAACTGAACAAAAGCCAGTCAAAATCTTTGAATGTCCTTCAAGAGGCCTAGAAAGTTCAAGCTCTTTGGAACTGTAAAAACTCTGTTTTTGCTTTGTGCACTCTATTTCCATTTACGTTTGCACGTGTTTCAGTAAATCACTACACCTATTTCCCATTTTGTTAGCAAAATATAAAGAAATGAATGGTGACTCAGGACTTTTGCACAGTGCAGCACACAGGGAACACTATGCTTTAAATGTTTTTCTCTGCTAATGATCAGTCTGTCCATTCAGCTTTACATTGCAGGTTGTTTGAGGCTACGGGCAACAACATCTGCCACTTAGTGCTTAGAGGAAGGCTCTGTATTCTGCTTTCTTTGCTGCTCTATGACTCGTAAAACATCTGCAGTGCTCATTGTGTCCAACATGAGGGACACTGCAGGGTTTTTTGTTCTTTAGTGTTGAGAGCTTTCATCACAGTCTGAAAGATCAAAAGCAACGCTTGATGTAGACTTTGTGAAAGAGTTGGGTCCTATAACAGGTCACCTCTAGTCTGGCTCGGTCCACATCACTGGGGAGGCGCTGCTGCCCTCTGACTGACACCACAAGGGATTCATATGGGTAGATCTTATGAAGAAAGAAAACATATTATTAATACCTGTCAAAGGGGTTGTTTTATTATTAATATTCCTGTAAGGTTCCTCATCAAAATGCACCATGGGTGATTTAGCTGAAATAAGTATGAAACGCTAAAAGGACTTAAAAGGACTTTAAATGCTGACTTCATTCTAAATTCTTTACTGAAAATGACTATTTGAATGAGGATGAAAACAAAAACACCAGTAAATTTTTTGGAAATTCAGTATATATTTTAACATGTTTGCATCAGAAGAATCTGAATCATTTTGCATTTGTTTTACCCTCTAGTGGTCAAATGCAGTTACAATGTCAACAACCCCTAAAGCTGCATATGAAGAAAAAAAAAAGAAAATTAAGTTTATTTTTTCAAATTTGTGGTTTCACCAATGAAAATGTTAAGAAATGCTGTTTTTTTCTGGTGTTAACGAAGTTCTCGGTTGATTTTCTTTTTTGATGAAAAATGATGACTTGTAAAGAACAAGTGAGAATTATTTACAATAATTATGCAGCAGAATCAAGTCTGCTGATGTCTGTTGTCAGCATAATTCTGATCTTCCTGAGCTATAAATTATAATCATCTAAATACAAACAAAAAAAAAGCTTGAACGGTTTTACTTTACATGTATTTTTAATTCAGTTCCAAAAAGTACAAAATAAACAGGAGCTTTTTCAGGATACAGCATGTGACACCAACATGTAACATTGTTACATAAAAACTAAAAAGAAGAAGAAATATATATTTATTGTGATTATATACAAAATAGCTACGCAATCAAGATTTGAGCAACCAAAATCTTCCCTGAAGGTTCTCATCTATAGCAGGTGTTGTGATATCATCATGTTGCCAAGCAACCACCTACCAAGTTAACTGATGCCTTTGTAGTTTATGTGCCTATAAGACCTTAAAAGTGTCATATGATTAAAATTTCATGACAATATCATGCAATTTTTTAACCACAAAACTTGAATTATGCATGCTATGTTGAGATACCATGTTGCCTAGCAACTGCCTAAAAAGGAGAAAAACTACAGACCAGACAATACTGGAGAATGGCCATGCTCTAGTATATACACAATACATGACTATTATTTATTATTAACTTTCCAATTAGGCAGCTTGATCTTAGAGAGTACTGTCATAGTACTGCCAGCCTGTGTTTACTCATATTCACGAGTACAAATATACTTATCTTGCCATAAAAAGGCAAGGCTGGTACTGTTAGCTTTTGTTACCGTCTATTTGTGGGTTTGACTTTGCTGTCAGTAAAATGAGTCTGTCACCGTTACAATTTCTCTGGCTGAAGTGGGTGCTACTGAGTGAGATTAATTCATTATTCAGATTAAAGAAGCAACATCATCATTCTTATCCACTGATACAAACCTGTCACTCTTTGCTCAGCAACAGATTTCTTACTTTTAGCAACTGGATCTTACCTTATATTCTGAAAAGAAGGAGGAAAAAAGGAGTCACTGACAATTGCTGTTCCGACAGTTCTGACTAATATGTGTTAAGGTATGCAATAGATCAAGAGAAAAACTCAAGTAAGCAGATTGAGCTGAGCAATAGGCTTACCTCTTATCTGCCAATTAACTGCATTAGTGCTGTCATACTGGTAATAATCTCCACCAACACTCCCAGGCTGCCGCAACAGGAAAGTGCATTTTAGGAAAACATGGAATAAAAATACACATTTAATATTTTACAATATTTTAGTGTTTTTTGGTCTAACAACTTATCACACTAATGTAACGACAGCATCATGCCACTTGTCTCACTTGGCCTTAAGAAGCAACTGATACAAATGGGTTTCAGGTCAGTAGCAAATGAAGGACTTTGCAATGTATTACAGTTTAGCAAATGGCCACGTGTATCTTATTCTCTCTCTGACTCTTGAGAGGAAACCTACATTCATTATCTGTGGACTGCAATCATCAATTATGGGAACTTGGTTTTTGTCTCCAAACACAAGGCGAGTCATCACACACACACACACACACACACATCTGGTGTTGCTATCCTCGTGGGGACATTTCATTGACGTAATGCTTTCCCTAGCCGCTTACCCTAACCATCAAAAATAAATGCCTAATCCCAATTGTAACCCTGACACTAAAACCACATTTTGAGTGTGAAAAATGCCTTCAACCCTGTGGGGACCTGAATTTTGGTCCCCACGAAGGCTGTTGGTCCCCACCAGTATAGTAAATTTCAGATTTTGGTCCCCACCAAGATAGGAAGAACCGGAACACACACACACACACACACACACACACACACAGCCAAAACCCATTGATTCCTTACCCTGTTCAGTGCATTTCTACCGTAGCCTGGCAACGAGGCTGATTTGGCAATGTAGGAGTCTGGCAGAACAAACAAAAACACATAAACAAGCACATGAAGTATGAAAACTGATACCAACACACTTAAATTAGAATCAAGAGTACACTGCCTCTATTGTCTGTGGTGCTTTTGGTTTATTTATTTAATTATTTATTTGGGCGGGGAAAAAAGAGGTTACTTCACAGCTTCAAATGTTTTAATTTGATTTTGTCAAATACAGCAAGAAATAAACTACAAATACATTTCTGTATCTGATTTTAAGAAAGCTATGGGTTTTGAGCTGTGGGTAAATGGGGGAAAACATTTTGCTTTTTTTCTGTCAATGAGCAGAAGCTATATTTTGCTGTTTCATCAGGTTTTCTCTCCACTTTTTTTCTACTGAAGTCTTGCATAAGAAATGTTTTCATGTCTGAAAAGTGATAATCTAATGGTTTTTCTGTCTTATGCTCATTTTTCTATCTAATATCTTTCACCCAACTCTGATCTTGAAACCTCTCATCTCAATAGCTCAAACAGCGAGTTACTGACATGTTGCTGGGAGTTTGGAAAAAGGCCTCCGATCAACTTTCTATCGTTTCATATAAGAATTCAAAGCAGAAGTGCTCTTTTTTCATATATTTGAAATCTCAAGGCTACAACACAATGTCTCAAAGACCCAAGCTGTGATCTGAGATGGCTTTTAAGTTGCAGAAAAGAGTTGCATTACTTCTTTTATACCAACATAGCACCTGTCTTGTAATCAGTGATAACCACTGGTGGCAACCAAGTATCTCCGGTCATCCTTGCACTTGTTGTGTGCACTGCTGCAGTGGAAGCAGCAGAGGGCAGTGTAATCCCACTGTTCCTCTCAATTCATTTGGCTTATCAACTGCCTTTACTTCACTATCACTGTTTCCTGTTCTACCCCTGTCACTAGATTTTCCCTCCTTTTTCCACTCCTCCCTCTAACTCCTCTGTTCATCCTTCCTCCCTCCCTCTCTCTTTTACTCTGGTGTTGAAAGGAATTAAATTACCCTGTAATGTCAAAGAGCCCTGGCGAAACACCATGATGCAGCAGAATACAGGCTGCTGTGTATTGGCAATGCACAGTGTGTGTAAAATACTGAACTATAATGAGTTTGTCATCTACTACTTTCTTTCTCAACAAGAAATGAGATATAGTCAGTGTTCATCGCAGATATGTACTGCTCTGTTGCCAGCATGAAAACTACTAGCATAAGCATCTCATGTATCACAATTTTTGTTTTGTTGTTCCTTCACTATAATAACTGAATCTTTGAATCTTTATAGCTAACGTTTGGTGTATTTAGTGCACCATCAAAATTACTTTATTGGGCACAAATGCACAGTTTTCAAAAACAAATATGGAAGCCCAGTTCGGACTTTAATGCCTTAAAACATTAACAACTATTAAAAGCAGAAGAACAGCATCGGAATTCCCCAAAATCTTTAAAAATATTGTCACATGTAACAACAGCTTATAGAACAGATCACTGTGGATGATGCAGCCTCTGAAAAAAAAAAAATAAAGACAGGCCTTGTTGTCATTCATCTTCCTACCCGTAACTCAAAAGATAGAGGTGTCTGTGCACGCGTCAGTGTGAACTGATAAAAATCTCCTACTTAAAGCTCTGCTGCTGTCACAGCAGAACTAACAGGATGAAGGAGATGAGGGGAAAAGCCGGCTCTCTGTGCCGCGGCTCCCATTGGGATGAACAAGCAGATCAAAACACATTGATGAACCACTCACCACTGTCAGCGCTGCAGAGGGACCTGGGAGCTGAAAGACAGACAAACAAAGGAGTGGGGCCATATGAAAATATTGTAATTTCACCAGTTTCATACTGTGAAAATTTTGTCTCAAGCCCCAAAAATGCAGTTTTTTAAAAATGATTTAGAATAAGAACTTTAGCTCAATAAACACTTTAGTGGAGGGACTTGTTTCCCAGAAAAGAGATGCTAGTAAAGAGCAGAATAAAATACTGCTAAAGAAAAAAAGCAAGATGGATTTTGAATCCATCTCCGATTCAGTTAAAACACTGAGGAACAAATCGTGCAGTGATCTGTGGAATCTAGTGAGAAAGTTATAGTATGTTATGGGACACAAAGAGAACTTTAGGAGGTCACTACATCAAATTATCTATCTCCATCTCCCTAGCACAATCTTTTCTTTTCTTCCCGCCTCACATCGTCATCTTCAATCCTTTGTCCAGTATATGCACTATTACTCCTCTGCACATGACATCCTACTTAACACACGTAAGAATCCAGGCATTCTGTTGTATATATCTTGAAATACTGAAATTGTAATAGTAATTAGGATATCTACCAAATGAAGAGGACTCCATGTTAAATATAATGCAATGAATTTGAACATTTGACAAAATAAAACCCACGAAAAATACATTATATGCACAGTGCTGAAGTTAATATTGGGATATTCATTCTCGTCTTTAAAAAGCATTGGCAATCAGCAGATGTTCTTCATCCTGATCCATTAAACTGACTAAAGCTGCAACAATGCTGCTGTCCTTTGTGGACCATGTTGGTCTTTTGGTTTAGTGTGCACATAAACATGCATATCAGTTGCTGGGACAACATGAACAGATGTCACACTCTGTTAAGTAGGGTTAATAAATCTACCACATAGTAAAAGTATTAGTTTTCAGTGGCGAGGGTATACATATTTTAAAAAGCCAGTTGTTTTGGGAGATGTCTATAAAACATCAGCTGTGTGAGAACATGTCCCTAAGAAGATCTGCATGCAGGATTAATTACTACCAAGACCTATACATCATTTAAAACATGAAGCACTATGTGCATAGGCATGCAGCACGTTAGATATTTATATGCTTATGGCACATACCCACTGCACTTATTTTGAATAGAGTTTTGCAGTTATTTTATTATAATGACTTACTAGCAAAGCTTGCTAATGACTGTAGTTGCAAACTGTTTCTGTCACTATGGTGAAATAATTACAGTGAGAATGCTAACAAGTTTAGCAGCCACAATTTGCTTAGTTTCGCATGATAATTACAAAGCAAAACTACAGCTGAGGATCTTGTAAAAACATCTTTAAGTCTTTAAACTGAACAAATAATCAAAGATATTAATGATTTATTATAAAAATAATAAATCAAAAGCACTTAGTTGTTAACCTTGCGCTTTTACGGCTAGTTTTGTACTAATTTAAATGCAGCTGCTTTTATTAGTGCTAAACTTAAGACAGCTGCATCACTGCTGAATATTAATTATTGATTCTGTACACACTTAAGTACATTTGAATGATTATGCAATCACTTATAAATCTAGAATCAATGACTCTGAAGGCTGAATCAGAATAAAATAAAACAACTGCAATGCTCAGTTGTTTTCTAGTAATTAACTTAAGCTTTGACCTGATGACTTAAGGTCATCACTGAGAATGATATAAATGTGTTTACCAGCTGTCATCCTCTGGTGAACACGAAATGTGAAATTGTCATGGCCATACCACCATGCTGAGATATATTAGATCGAAGTGATTGACTAACTAACTGATGGACAGATACTGCCATCCTTAGGGTCACGCTGCTAGCGTGGATAAAAATGGTCCGAATCAATTCAGTGAGATGAAGTCTCCAAGCATGTCAGTCAGTTTGTAGCAGTTCATTCCATTTCTGAAAAATGGTGAACATCCCATTTTGGAATTAGCCTCCTCTGAAGAACGGATGAGAGTGCGCCTGTCAGGATTTTCTAATCAGTATAATAACAGCAAGCACCATAAACCCATAGTGATTACACAGCACTGAGCACCCACATTATTCATACCTCTCTCTCTCTCTCTGTGACCTCCCTGTGGACAGAGCTCATTTCCCTCTTTTTCCACTGCTCTCTGACCCTGATTTACTTCTAAGGCTTCATGTCGTACATCTTCTCTCAACAGCTCCAAATTGCTTTAGCTTCTGATTCTCTCTCTCACCCTTATATATATACACTTTCTATAGTGTTCACTCTTTGTTCCGCTTTAACAGGCTTCCTTTTATTCCTGCTGGACCCCCAGCACAACACAACACAACGCACACTTTCTTTGCCTTTCTCCGAATCTCTCCATCTTTGTCTCACGTCATCTGCTGAACACAATGAGGAATGGGATCAATTAAAGAGTTAACACAGAAGCGGGAAAACCCCACCTGCTCAGGCTCGGTCAGCAAACAGTACAACACCCAACACTGTTCCAGCTATAAAGGAAACTACATTTATTTCCTAACATCTAACCTTCAGTCACTGCATCCTAATCAGAATTAGCCCAAACCAAAACTAATGTTGTTTTAGCTACTAAAGCCTCAAACCTTTTAAACATTAAATAAATAAATAAAATACTTCAGGGACTGGGAATATATCATAAGTCATGCAAACTTAACATCATTAACCTTTCACCAGAAGAGAGACAGAAAGGACGTAGCCACGCTAGCTACTATTTGAAGCTGAAATTCTTTATGAACACCAGCATGCTAACATGGTCACACTGATAATGCTAACATGCTGTTTTATTACTATATAAATCATATGTGAAACAGAAGATAGTCCGGTAAATACTGAGATACTTTAGAGAGATGGTTTATCCCGTAGACAGGGAGATATTTCTCCGATATTTGGAACAAATGAGGGAACAACCAATAGACAGACTTTCGCTACTTAACCAGATAAAAGGGGTGTTTGTAGCATTGCCATAAAAACAGTCTGTTGTGGCTCCTTTTCCTGTCTTTTTAAGTAAGCTTTCTTCTCATTAGCTGTCCCGCAAAAACAAACCGTTTGAACATCGGATGACTTAGGCTGCGCTGCTCACAGTCCTGTGTGCCTGAGATGACCATATAAGGGATATTTGCTCTCAGTGACGTCATATGAAAATACGAGTATAAAAAAACTGTGCATTTAGAGCCATCTGAAGCCTGTGTTGACCTCATTATTTCAAACTTTAGCCATGTTTAATGTGAGCATTCACCAGTGTAACAGTATTTATATATATACACCATAAAATAAGAAAAAAGCAGAATACATCCACTTGAATATTTCTGCTTTACTCCAGCTAATCAACTTATAGCCGTGGCACCACCTCTTAAAATCATCAGACTTAGTTTGTTTTTTCTATAATGAATTACAATATAGACTTTTACTAATATATCTGCAAAAAATCCCACATCAAATTCATCATACTAAAGACAAGATTACAAGCCTAACCTACTGTCATGTGACAATGCATGGTAAATAAAGTTGATCAGCTTACTGGCATATTCAAGATGTAAATAAACACATGTACACACACACACACACTTACAGCCATTAAGGGAGCTGTATCCCAGATTGCTCAGCGCCTCCTTGCTGCTACAGCGGGAGCTGTGTCTGCTACCCCACTGGTCATTGTCGTGACAACCTGCTCGTGCCTTCATCTCCTCTTTCAGGATCAATCTGCCAATTCCCTGCATGGAGTGAAGGAAAGTAGAGCAGAGGGGAGGAACAAAGAGAGATGGGAAAACAAGGTGGAACAAAAGGACAGATAGATGGAGTAATAAGAGTTGATTGAGTGGGATGGGTGCATGAGTTGACAGATGGTGATGGAAGAATGCAGGATATAAGCGAAGGATGGATGTGAGGACAGAAGAAGAGAGGAGTACAGGGGCATCACTCTGTATCATGTCAAGTGAGGTTGGAAAGAAGCATTTAATTAACTGGCTCATTAAATATTAACCCTCACTTAAAATATAACAGGAAGAAGCAACAGATGTATTTTTACCCTGTTTATATTATGATTCAGTCCATCCTCCTCTCCTCCAGATGAAAACCTCCTCACCCTGGAGACTAGACAGAGAGATGGAGGAAATGAAAGGTAACAGGGAGCTAGTGAGAAGACTGAAAAAGTGAACATCAAAGTGAAAAAACTGTCATTTGGCTCTGTGGGTTCAGTTTGTGTATAACAGTAAAACATGCTGTTAAGTAGAAGGTGCTTTACCTTTTGGAGAGCCGGTATATGGGTAGTAGTTGGAGTTTGGATGATAAATGCTGTTACAGTTTGAGGTGGAAAGGCGATTTGAATTGGTGAGATTGTCATTGGTCCTACTCTTATTGGCTGTTGTAGAGGCTGATATTTCTGACAAGAAGATAATTAGAGAGGGTATTTTTTAAAATTTATTGTTAAAGACACACTTTGAACATTTGATTTGTGACAGAAAGTCTTTTTGTCCTAGGATCTTGTGCTGAAGTTCATGCTAGAAATAACAACAAAACAACCAGAAGTGAAACGTCTATATGGGTAGAAAGCCTTAAAGATGTTCTTGTTTAATGAAAGTGTCTTTTTTCCCCCCTCCCATTGTTGGCTTTAAAATGATTTTCTGACCAACGTGTTTGCTGATGCGTGAGTGCAAGAGAAACAAGACAGATGAAGTAGTGCATATATTTACAGAGAGGGGAGAGAGCACAGTATGTGAGAGGAAAGGAGGAGAAGAGGGGAGACGCATCAAAAACAGGGGAATGGAAAATCGAAAAGAGGTCAGAGACAACGGGAGGGGGTGTGATACAAAACTTCAAGCAGGCGATAATGCTGACTCTGAATAAAAAATATGAACAGAATGAAACACTTTAAGGTATTATACAAGTGTGTAAAGTTTCTGTTAGGGCTGAAATCTCACAAGACGTAATTAAGAAAAATGCCAGCAAACAAAAAACGCTGTAAAAGCACACAAACCACAATGGAAACAGGAAATCACAAAACACAATGGAGTGTTTTTGGAAGACAATAATGTGTCAGCACAGCTGCACACGTTACAGAAACCAAACCACACGAATACACATGATACACAGAAGTGGAGGAGTCATCTGTGCTGTCAGGGACCAATGACTGTAGAAAAGACGTGAAAAAGACACACGCATGGTGTTTTTTTTTTTTTAATCAGATGATTCATATAACACTGTAGATTCATGTTTGCTATTAACTGCTAGTTTGTCACTTCTGCAGCTGGTCCATCACACTGTTGTTTCCCCAAACGTCTCTTGTGTTTTGTGTGCTTTTTGAGCATTTTTCTATTTGCTGGTGTTTTCTTAAGACGCAGTGCATTTGTACCTTCGGGGCCACTGTACACTAATCATGTGTATACATGAATGGCATTTTTCTTCTTTGAAGGACACAAATAAAATCCATCTGTTTGTGCGTATTTGTTATCATTTTTGTATTGTGATGTTTTTTTTAATTTAATTTGAGTATTCATTTAACTTAAACATTTGATCAAGTGCAATATGGCTCCACCTCACCCCTATTTTTAGTATCATTTTACATCTAAAACTGATGCTACCTTTCAGATGCACTAAAACAGATGCAATGTATTATTGGCCTGACTTAGATCATTTGATACAGCTGGAGCTGCTAAAACATTTTACCTGTGATTCCTTCTGTGGTATATCTAGATGTGGTAGATGACATGTGAGGAAATAGATGAAATAGTGTT